CCCCTTCATCTGTTTTCATTCACACTCCTGATTCTTGTTGCTACACTTCTGAATCAGGTTCTAAACTCCTTCTGGGGAACGTAAGTGATAAACTCTGTTTGTGTTCAGCTTAAGGAGCATTTTTTATCCTCCCAAACATGAATTTCGATCTTAATTATCTGACAGTGTCTCTTTTTTTTCCCATTTTATGTTTTTTTGAGCTTTGGCAAGTGGCAGTTTTATTTTCCAAGCTGCTGGTGCTTTGAGTCTGCCCCTTTTTTTCTTCAAGCTGCTGCTTGGGCTGCCTTTAAGGAGTAAAACTTCTGTCAAAGCAAAGCAAAGGCCCCCATGGCTAACTGGATAATAGATTTGCAAACAGTGGCTGATAAATGATGAAGGTTAATTGCCAAATCCAGGCTGCTGTGGATCTGGTGAAGGTTTGGTGCATTCATTTCTGGGAAGGTGAAACTGGAGCAAGCTGGGTGTCTACCAGAAAATGGAGCTTACTGGCCAAAGGCTTTTCTCAAAGCATCTGATATATTCAGCTATATTTTTTTAATGTAGATTTTTTTTTTCCTTGCTGCTTTCTAAGGTTTTTGACTGCTGGGTTTGATTAAATGGAGATCCAACTTTCCTGTGCCCAGCTTGAAGGGGTTGGATTGTGTGTTCCTTGCCTTCATTTTGTTCTTCAAGCTGTTGAATTTTGCCAGGAGTGGTGAGGAAGCTGCTCCCGATAGAAAGGGGCAACAATGACTCTGTAAAGCTGCAGAAGAGGCCTGGAGCTTAATCACAGCCAAATAGCTTTTGAATAAATCTTAAGCACCAATCTGCAGGCACAGATTTCTGCAAGAAAAGGCAAATTACTGGATGGGGACAGAATGATTTCCTCCTGCTCCTGGGCTGGGTCTGTAAAGGAGCTGAGAAAATAGAAACCAGCCCTTCCATCTCTCAGAGCTATGGTTTAACCACAAGACTCTTCCAGAACAAGCACTAACTTGATGATTTTCACTCATTTTTTTTTACCTAGAGCTCCTTCACCTGGCAAAAGAAAGACCCCAGACTGACACTGCTGTGGCCAGGAGGCTGGTGAGCCGGGCTTTGGGTTTGAAGCACAAACAAGAGGGTGGCTCAGGCACCGACCTGCTCCTGCCAGAAAACTTGGACCAGGAAGATTAAACCATCTCAGCTGAAAAAAAAAAGATGTATAGATGAGCATGGCTGTGCTATTAAACTGCATGCAGAACAGTGAGTGGCCACGGGGATGTTCTCTTGGAGGTTAGCACCGTCTTTTCTGAAGTTGGGGAGGGGAAAAGTTTGCTGTTTAATGAGCCCTAGAGCTCCAGAGGGCTGCTGCCAGCTCTTCAGGACAGAGAGCAGCTCCCCTGCTCTGTTTCCAAGCCTCTGTGGCACTTGCAGTGAAGCTGCTTACAGAAAAGCCTGCTCTGGAATTAAAAGAGGCATTTGAGGAAGAGAATTGTATCTTGTTGGTCAAAATTCAGCTGTAAGCAGAGCAGAGCACCTGCAGGAGCCAAAATACCTGTTTAATGTTGATCTTTGTTGTCTTGTTGTTGTTAAAATATCCCCCAAAACAGAGGAGCAGTGAGTGCAAAGTGAGTTTCAGAGTTTTTCCTTATTTACCTAAAGAGCCTGACTGGCTTCCTTGCACTGTTAGCAAGGAAAGTTGGGGTGCAAACTAGGAAAAAAATCCCAGAACTTGCCAGTTCTGATTTGCCCAGAGCCTGGTGTTAAGAGATGATGTTGTAGCAGCAGCAGTAGAGCATCCAACACATCTCAGACTCAGCTTTTGCTCCACTCTGGCATCTGGAGAACAAAACGAGTTTCCAGCATCCAGTAGGCTACAAACCTTTGCTAGATGCCACCACCTGAGCCACTGGATAAATGACAGAAAGACTCTGACAGGCATTAGCAAAAGACTTCTGGATTTTTCAAGCCTCACAACATCCCTGTGAGGTAGGTTATGGAGAGCACAAGTTAGATGGAGCCAGTTTCCATCCCCCTGTGGATAGAAACCGTCGGGTTTGAGAATTCCATGAACTTTGGAGAAGTCTTCCATACCAACACAGAGGGAGGGATAAAAAACCCCTTGAGTACCAGGAATTATGAACGAGGCCCTCAGCTTTCAGGGAGCAGAAATACACAAATGGCATGTCAAACATTTATTTCTGGGTAAAACATCTTTTATTCAAGTAGCTGTTTCTGAAAAACCTGTAGCGACGCGTGTCCTCAAACAAACAGAGGAGCACACTTAGCACCATTGTGAATTGATTGTGTGTGAAACACAACTTACACAGGTGGGGCTGGGCCAGCACAGGGCTGGATCCCCCGTGGTGAAAGCCAAGAAGTTCTCCCTGTCAGGTACAACGATGACACGACGCCTTAACTAAACCCATCCTCGAAAGAAAAGCCAATGATGTCCAGCTTTGAAGGTGGTATTTGGATGCACGTGGAGCTGTTGGGTGACTAGCTTATTGTCTCGTGGAAATTCACAGCCCTGGGGACTCGTCAGGAGATCTGCAAAGTCTTCTAGATGCTCCAAGGAGCCCTGATGCACTGGTAGGAAACAGTCCCGCATCAGCCGCTCCCTGGAGAGGTGGTGTCAGGAGCTGGTGGTTGGACACCCCAGGGCTGTTGCAGTATTAAATGACACCTTATCCTGTTCTGCTCAGAAAAAGCTGCTCCAATTGTTGTTTCTTTTCTTCCTTTACCTGTATTTCTTTGCTAAAATGGAGTAAGGGCAGGGCAGTGGCTGAGGATCTGCTGGGTTCAAGCAGCGGCATCACGTTCGCCTCAATGGTGCGTTCAAGCTTGAGTCAAAGAGCTTAAGAGAAACCAAGATTAATGCCTCGAAGAAACTGAGCAGTAAAGGCAGATTTGGGTCGTTGGTAGCCAAAAAAGAGTCAAGTTGTGCCTGCTGCAGCCTTGGATCTACGTCTGGCCACAGAGGTGGTGCTGCAGAGTGGAGGGAGAAGGTTGGGAGGGTGGGCGAAGGTTGGGAGCCAAGCAGAGCTCACTCCTGACCACCTCAGTAGTAGGGACTGGAGTGACAAGAGCCACGTGGTCTGAGCAGCTGAACTGGGAAGGAAGGCGCCTTGAGGAAATAATTTACCTTGCTAATTGAAGAGTTTGATTGATGGCTTGATTTTCTTTGGTGCAGTGGTTAGGGAAGTGAGCGAAGCAGGAGACCTCGCTTCTTTAAATAGTGGGGTGGGAGGTGATGCTGCTCTATCGGGTGGACACCTTGTTATTTGTGAGTCCAGTGAAGTGATCAAACTTCTGCTCCGTTTCCTCGCTGAAGGAGCCACCTGGGGAGGGCACAGAAAGAGCAGAAGGTTGAGGAGGAGGCAGCAGAGGCAGCTGGAGAACACGCCGGGCTCGTGCCTCATCCACAAAAGAGGCTGTGGAAAGGAAGGGCTCAAAGAGACTACTAGGAGAGCAAAGAGTTTCTTTGGCTAATTAATTTAAGCATTAATTACATCTTACCATAACTGGAAGCCCAGGAGTAGTGGAGTTGGAAGCCTAGACTGCAAACTACCCCTGATTTCACTGCTGGCCTCTACTGCTTAAAAAAAATGAGGTGATGACTACCAGGAGCTGTGGAACATCCTCCTCCTTGAGGCCAGGGGCAAGTGGCTTCTGTTTAGTCATCTTCCATAGGCCCATGCCCTGACTTTGGGCTAATTCAGAGAGAATAAAAGCTAAATCCATTTATTTTTAAAGAGAAATACTTGCAAGCTCAGCTGGTGAGCCCATCCAACACTTCAGTGCCTCTTCTTGAACTTAGGTTGAAATCTGAAGTGTGACAGAAGACAAGTATTTCTTGTTAAAAAAACCCCAAAAAAATAATGAGGAAAAATCTGGTATATGGATTTTTTTTTTCCCCAGGAAAAACACTCCTTGAAGAACCTCAGCCAGCTCTGGAAATTGTCTTCACTACTTGGTTATATTTTGAGGTTGACTGGCAGTGGCTGTTTAGTTTCTGGGTTAAAACTAATTTATCTTACAAAGCCACCAACTCATCTTGAAATGGTCTTGACCACTGTTAATGGAGATTTAAATCAGTTGGGCCTTTCAAGCCCAAGAAAAGCAATTCCAAATGACAATGTCTTACATGTGTCCAAGAAACCAGGCAGTTTTCCCTCCTCTTGGAGGGCCAGCAGAGCATTTCCCTTGCTGGGTTGAGCAGAGGGCTCTTCTCCACTGCTCTGCTCCTTGGCTTCTCAAGAAAAGAGCAGCTCTGGGCTCTGAAGAAGGTGGGTCCCAGGCTGGCAACCACCAGAACCTGGGAAGAAGGGTCTCAGGAGGGAAAAACACTCGTTTCCTTGTAGAAGACAGAGCTGGAACATCTTCTTGTCCCCTTCCCACCAAGCCTGAGGGATTTCTTCCACATCTTGCCCAGGGAGCTGTGGTACCAGTGCTGGGCTCACTGCTCCAGCAGCACATAGGAGGCAGCACCAAGTCACAAACTGTCCCACCCCACCCTGCAACAGAGACACTTTGGTGTCTGCCTTTGAACAGTCCACACCACGGGTGGGGTTTGGGCTCAGGATCTTTCCAAGCATGTACAGAGCCAGTGACAGGGTCTCATCATAGAATGGTTGGGGTTGGAAGGGACCTCTCAGGAGATCATCTAGGTGGGTGTTGAAAGTCTGTGGAGAAGGAGACTCCACAACCTCTCTGGGCAGCTCTGTCACCCTCACAGGAAAGTTTCTCCTCATGCTGAGGTGGAACTTCCCACGTTCTCCCTTAGACCCATTATTCCTTGTCCTGTTACTGGGCACCACCAAAAAGTGCCCATCCCCTTCCTCTTGACACCCACCTCAGATATTTATAGACATCAATAAAATCCTCTCTCAGCCTTTTCAAGACTGAACAGTCTCAGTTCTCTCAGTCTTTCTTCACAGGAGAGATGCTCCAGTCCCTGAATCATCCTCAAAGCTCTCTTAGACCCTCTCCAGCAGATCCCTCTTTCCTGAACTGGGAGCCCAAACCTGTAGACAGCATTCCAGGTGTGGTCTCACCATGGCAGAGAGGGATGAGAACCTCCCTAGACCTGCTGGCCACACTCATTGAGACCATTTGCCCTCTTGGCTACCAAGGCACATTAACCCAGGGATAACTTCCTGCCCCCTAGGACCCCAAGGGCTCTCTCCACGGAGCTGCCTTCGAGCAGGACGACCCCTGATGAACAACCCTGGGGTTGTTCAGGGCTCCCCAGCTGGTGAGGGGCAGGATGTGGCCCCAGCAGCAGCCCCCTCACCTATGTGGCAGTTGTACATCCTCAGTTCTCTCAGTCTTTCTTCACAGGAGAGATGCTCCAGTCCCTGAATCATCCTCAAAGCTCTCTTAGACCCTCTCCAGCAGATCCCTCTTTCCTGAACTGGGAGCCCAAACCTGTAGACAGCATTCCAGGTGTGGTCTCACCATGGCAGAGAGGGATGAGAACCTCCCTAGACCTGCTGGCCACACTCATTGAGACCATTTGCCCTCTTGGCTACCAAGGCACATTAACCCAGGGATAACTTCCTGCCCCCTAGGACCCCAAGGGCTCTCTCCACGGAGCTGCCTTCGAGCAGGACGACCCCTGATGAACAACCCTGGGGTTGTTCAGGGCTCCCCAGCTGGTGAGGGGCAGGATGTGGCCCCAGCAGCAGCCCCCTCACCTATGTGGCAGTTGTACATCCAGATGCGCTGCCCGTCGTAGCGGCTCCTGCACTTCATCACGTTGTTGGAGTAATCAGACTCAGCCACTTCATAGTTTGGGTTGATGACAACCTAGGGAGAGGTGGAGAAAGGTGGCATCAAGCTCCTTCAGACTGAGACAGAATTGGCTTTTTCATTACTCCACAATATTGAACAGGAAAAAACTCATTTGTTGACAGACAAACTATTTGATTAAAGCCAGATTAAGATCACACCTTCTCCTGTGCACCCAAGTTACACCCTCAAACACCTTCTCTACTTTCACACAGTAGTACTGCAGACAAAAAGAATTCCTCTTTCCTTCACTGCTCCAGTTAAGCAGCTGGTTTTAGACCCAAAGAACTCCCCCCACCTGCCCCTGGGCACAGCCTGAACTCCTCCCACCAACACAAACCCCCCACCAAAGAACTCCTCCCACCAACACAAACCCCCCTGCAGAGTCCCCAGGGGAGGCAGTGTTGCTGGCAAACAGCTCAAGAGCCCAGCTCGAGACAACAGTGGGATGCTGGAAGCATTAAGGTTGGAAAAAAGCTCCCAGATCATCAAGTCCAACCATCAACCCAACACTAGTGTGATCACTGATGTCCTGAAGTAACGCATCCACAGGTTTTTGGACCCCTCCAGGGCTGGGGACTCCAGCACCTCCCTGGGCAGCCTGGGTCAAGGTCTCAGCACTCTGCCAGGAGAGAAATTCTGCCTCAGATCCAACCCAAACCTCCCCTGGGGCAACTTGAGCCCATTGCCTCTTGTCCTATCACTGGCTACTTAGGAGAAGGGACAAACCCTCACCTCATTCCATCCTCCTGTCAGGAGCTGTGCAGAGCCAGAAGGTCTCCCCTGAACCTCCTGCAGACTAAACCCCCCCAGGTCCCTCAGCTGCTCCTCACCAGCCATGTTCCCCAGAGCCCTCCCCAGCTTCGTTGCCCTTCTCTGGACTCACTCCAGCCCCTCAAGGTCTTTCTTACCCTGTAGCACCCAAAACTGACCCCAGCCCTCAAGCTTTAAGACTATCACCTCTAAGCTGTGGTTACTGGCCCTGATTTGTCCTCCTGGTGGGCGATTACCTTCCGGGTATCCTGGGAACATCATCTCTTTGCAATGAGAAGTTTATGGGAGCTGTACAAATCAATCACATAGTTCTAGGTCCTGGCATCCCTAAGGGGTTAGATGAAACAGTCAGGGGGACCCCAGCCCCTGGGGGTACCTGGAAGAGGTAGTCTCCTGGTGGGACGTCGGTGACGTCGATCCACTGGCAGTCGATGTCGTGGCGGTACACGTCCCAGCAGCCCACTGTGATCCCCTGCTCTCCAAAATTGGCACACTCGTACTGCTTCTGCACGTCTGCACGAGGGGAAGGCACAGGGTTCAGCCCAGGGGGGGCAGTTTCCCACCCCCGGGGGGGCAGTTTCCCACCCTAGGGCACGGGGAGTTGTTCTCCAGGTCCTGCGGCTGGGGATGAGCTGCAGGGATGGTGCTTTGGATGGGATTTGTGCACCAGCATCTTCCTCAGTGTCTTCTACTGATACACACCCAGTGCTGAGCTGCCCAGGGGAGCTGCCACCCTCCTCTAACCTCACCCACGTGTGGGGGCGTGCAGAAAATGCACAGTGAGGTTTCCAGAGCAGCTCAGAGGAAGGAGGGGAGGTCTGAGAACCTCTCCCCTGTGGGGCCTTCAGGGATTCCCTTACCCCTGGAGACACCACCCCACTCACACATAACCCTGGGACTGGTTTTTGGCTCCTCACAGGCCACCTTCTAGACCTGCTTTGACAGCATCTGTCCCCTGCATGGGGACAGGAATAAATCCCCAGCACAAGGGGCTCTGGCAGATCTACCTGCTTCACATTCCGTGTCCTCCAGGCAGAAGCTGGCCTTGTGTCCTTCAGCCACCTTGGTCCCGTTGAGGTT